TCGATAAGTTTGAATTCTTCTATGAGTTTAGTTTTTATGTTTTACGATTGCAGGCGAAAATACATAACATCTTTTCATCTTATGAGGCTTTCAAAATTTTAGATGATATACTTTCAAAATTTAAAGTGTATCTTTATACTCCAGGGTTCGGTACTGTAGGGGTATGTGCTGTTGAGGCTTCCCCCACTCTTGTTACTGCTTCACTATCCACCATATCATATGGTGCTATTACAACAAAAGTGGGGGAAGACGCTCACTCAGTCCTGCTCAGTCCAACTCAGTCAGTCGGTGTCAGTGCTGGCTTGCTCCCTTGCTCCATGGAGCAAGCGTGCCAAACCCTGAGTTATGCTAACGTCAGTAGTGTTTAATAGACATTGAGAATCACTGTGCAAACGACAGTTACAAATTGAAACGCGAGAAACAGAAGTGCTCGCCAACATATACGATATAACAGAGAATAGTGAGGTTGATATTAGTTGTCAAGTCACAAAATATTCCACATTGTTTCACATATTCACTTCTATTTATACATATATTGATATGCACGTAAGTAAATACATCTTATTATTGAAGCCACCGAAGTAAATGGCAGATTGATGAATAGGTCATATGACATGTGATTTATCAAATTTTAATTTTGAAACGACCAAGGATACAAAAGAGTTAATTGATTGTTGAATCGAAGTATTGAAATATGGCACACGTGACAGAGGTAACTGGACATATCCAGCATTGTATTAATTAAAAATTGGCAAAATTGTTATTTGAATAAGAGTTACGAGTGATAAATAAAAAATAAACGTCTTGAACTTGGAATTTGAAATGTTCACGATGAACAAATAAAAATTTAACTATTAATTGGGCAACTATTGATTTTATTATCCTATATTATTCAAATAAAATTTTGCTTGACTATTGTATAAATATTCTAAATCATTATTTGAATTTACCTATACCTGTACAGACAAAATTCGCGGATATTCAAAACGACGAACGATGTCAGAAATTGAAACGAGCTTTGAAACTTGCTTTGCTCAGGAAACAAAATAAACAGGATAGAGATGAATCGTATATGTTACCTATGACACCTATTAGTATCTCCAGTATCAATATGGATGGATTTGATTCCACTACTAATTTCCTACAAGCCTCTAGAATTGGCAGCGAAGTTGTGTCTTCGAGCAACAATCTAAGAAATATGATCTTGAAAGGAAATGATAAAAATGGTTGTAAACCAATTGCTACATCAAGTGTTAAAAAATTCAATACGAAAACTGACTCCGATAAAGATTACTTGTTGATGCCGCCACCTAACTTTGACTGTGTTCCTAGTACTTTTAAAAAATCAAACGATATAACAACAACCAACGATGCCAGAATTCAGTCAGTGTCAGAAAACGATACCATAAAAGAAACTCCTGAACACGATAATATTTGTTCCTCAAATATGATTTCTGATATTGTTCAAAATAGAAAAGTTAAGGTTTTTAAAGATTGGAAAGTCATGTTTAATGGACAAGGGCAACTGGTTATTAAAGGAAGAATAGAACGGTAAGTCTATATCTGTGATTTTTAAAGTAAGAAAGTACAAAAGTAATCCTAATTTAAGTTCATTATTTCAGTGGAATAATTGCTCGTAGTAAACCTATCATAAGGCGATTGACATCCACTATTGTTGAATCTATTTGTAAACATTTGTACCAGTTACAAGGAAATATTGTTGACAATGAGTATGGTAAATAGTTTACATCTAGTAATACATTGCATACTTAAATTATAATTGTGTACTTATTTGTACATATTTTTATATTTAATAATAGAATTTCATTGTTCACAGAATTACCAGATTATGTCATTAATAAATTTTCTAACGGATTCCCTGATGACTGGTTGAATGTTTGCGATATTTGGAGAGCATTCATAGACAAAGGATGCAAAACAACTTTTCGTTGGCCTACCAATGTCACTGATAGCGACGATGACTTAAGAAGCGAAATAACAGACATGACATTTGTAGGCTCGAATAGTCCAGAAAATAAAGGTCCAAAGTCTTTAAAAGAACCGCGTACACTTCGTTCAGCTACTTCGAACGTCTTGCAGGCCCTGACAGAGAAAGAAAATAATAGTCCATGTAAAACTAATATGAGTAATTCGTTCACTCAAACATCTATATCTGGCACGTGTCCCGTTACATGGTTGAATAACGACAAAGAGAATTGCAAACAACAGGACAATACGGCTTCGAATTGTTTTTATTCTGAAGATGAAAGAAATAAATTGCGAGACAAATTAAATCTTATTATAAATACTTTAACGGATAAAAACGATTCTAAAACATGCCTGAATATAATCAGTGAATTACTTGATTGGATACATCACATTATATCAAATGAAGCAGATGAAAATGACAAGTCCAATATAAAGAATTCAAGATCAAGTAGTAATAAAAGCAGCAATTCGAAAGAATATTGCCCATCCGAATCTATTCCTTTGCAAAATATTATAGTGTTCGATAGAAATAAATCTGCAACCGCAGACAGCCTTACGAACTGTAATAATTCGTCACAAATAAACAAAACTTTCAACAGCATGAATAGAACTAATGGTAGCAGTAGTTCCGATAGCGAGAGTTCAGTTTACGCTGGTGTTCGCAAGATATCGGTAACACAGATACTGCATCGAAAAAGGCCAGTGATAGAGTCTCCAAAACGTAAAATCAAAAGAAGTATTGCACATCGAAAGTCAAAGAAATCTTCAGTTAAAAGTCCTACCAAAACACAAGAGATACTGACAAAAAATAATAGCAGGAATCACGAAGATTCTAGTATCAGTATCATAGAAGACAACGAAGGTTGTTTGAAATATAAAAAACATATTGATCCAAGCAATGAAAGGAATGTATCTGTTAAGCCCAGTGCAATTAAAGGAAACCAGTGGGATAAAACGAATGTCCATACAAATAACAAGACATATAAAGTGCGGGAACACTTCATGCAGAAAAATGTTTATAGAGATACAGAAAGTAATAATGAAGTGATGGAAGGAAGTTCTTGTATAGAAGCCTCTAGGAAGAGAGGTGAAACTATGAAATGCCAATGTCAAAAGTGTGCATCTCACGAACAGACTAGAGAACAATTATTTCGATCCAGGGAATTTATAAACAAAGTTTCAAAACCTGACGTGATTAGTTCAGTACCCGTTGTAAATACAGTCGACGTTACAAATTTTAGTATAAATCCTAAAGGTAAGAGAGTTATATTACCTTTGGGAATACGATCGCCAGTTAAACAAAGTTTTTTTTTCAGGAGAAAACGTTTGTATAAAACAAAATAATTCAGCTTGTCCTACTTCAAGGGATTCTTTGATGGTTGCCATGTATGATAGTCCCAATAAAAGTAAGAATGTAAATAAATCATTGATGCAAGGAAACGATGTGAGCAAAAAGAACACTTCAAATGGATCAAAGGTGCTTGCCACAATTGCTCAGTTGAATTTCTTTATTGTATTTTTTGAAAGTATACTATTTTGAGAAGACCCCGTCTAAGGTAATGTAATTTATAATTTATCGCATCTAATATATCGTATTTCACGTCGTAGAATAATACCGCGAGTCCACCAGAGAAGTCAGGTAATGCAAAAACTATAGAGAATTTAAAGGAATTTGAAAGCAATAGACAACGCAAAATACTAACACGGAAAAAAAGAAGAATCGTAGAACATGCGTCGGAATTGAGTGACTTCAGCGATAATACAAGCGTTCCTGTACAGAAGGTAATATTTGTTTGCTCACTTCTTTCTTTTTCTTAAAAGTATTTACATTGATATCGACAGAAGCAAAAAGTTAAAGCGAAACAACAGGAATTGTCCGATTCTGCGGTTACAACAAACGAACAGGATAATCTGGGAAATACGGAAAATATGGTAAGCAATACATTAACTATGTACATTGTCAGATTATTTAATGTACATAATTATTTTAATTCTATAGTGTAAATCTTGCTTAGACGTTGGACCGACGAAGTCAATACCGAAATCCACGATACCGTCACCTTGCAGAACTAGACAAATGTAAGGCATTTAAGGCTTTCAAGGTCCGATTCTGCATAATGATACTAATCGAGAGTTCCGAATGTACGCCGTGTTCTTTGGCAAAATCTTCGACGTGTTGTCAGTACTCAATCTAGTTTTTTCAGAGGTCGAATGACAAACTGATCAATATAACAATCGTAAAAATTTGTTTGCAACCAGTGAACCGTGCCATGAGTTCCGTGCTTAGTAGTTAATGAACTGTAGCATGAACGTATCTTCAATGATCCAAGCTACGCGACACACGCCAATGAAACATCAGAATATCTCATCTAAATGACACGGTTTACATTCAGAAATCTCAGTTAGTAAACAAATGTAATTTTTAAACGTGTACCAATAAGTAGCAAATTATTAGTACTAAATATCGCGTTTGATGCTATTAATATCTGTCTCAGGTCTAAGGTTCAACAAGAATTTTCAGCTGTGAATCGTCCCAATATTGTATGCACCTACCATAACAATATATCAGTACATAGTGTATTATCCGCTGATGAAGATTCTCATGTATAAAATAACATATGTGCTTGCTCTAACATTGCGAATAAAGTAATGTATACTGTTTCATATTTTTTTAATAAAAGGGATAAACGAGTATCTACGTTCGCCATTCGATTCTGATACCTATTGTTTCAGAGTAACCTTTGAAAACATAAAACGTTTGTTTTGTGGATTGTTTTATTGTTTAATAATATAATTTAACAATTGTATAAAGTATGTAAGAAATACGTTCCATTTCTATGTCAGTAACATAAGAAATGTATAATAACTTAGTATCGATACAAATTAAAATCGAGTGAAATTCTCGTACATATATATATATATCGTACATATATAATATATATATCAATAATATATAAATTAGTACGTATCAGTATGATAGAAAATAAAAATATAATAAGCAAATTGCACGATTTTACGTTTTTTTTTTAAATCTTACTCTTTTTTAGTATGCCTCCAGTATAGTTCATCTAACTATATAAACGTTTAAGAGATTGGAAGATATCGCTAGATCAATGGATTTCAATACAATGGTTTTGTAAGTGAACCTGACAATATTCTTTTTTTTTTTATACAGGACGACTAATGCCCATCCTTCAGAGCATTTTAATTGCAACGCGATTCTCGATTCTGTTCTAAAATTGTTATATATTATATATAAATTTAACGTAAAGATATAACAAAAAAGTACGATATCTATTATGCACAAACGAATCCGTTAGCTTTCATCGTATAGAGGAGTACCGTCTCCGCTGAGAGACATACTCCGTGGACTAGAATTGGTGTGTGGTGTACCTCGAGGAGATTTGTAAGACGGAGTCCGAGCCAAATTTCTGTTTCTCGGCGTTGTTCTTCCAACAGATTCCTCGTAGTTCCGCGGAGTTTTTCTAGACTCGTCGTACCTTGGTGTTGTTCCACTAGTAAAGCATGAAAAAACAGTATTACACTTTTTTATTGGTGTTATTATTAGCATCTAAAGAGGACTTGTAGAGTTTCATTCGGCAGTCATTTTAAAACAAACATTTCCCACAATGTTATGCCAAATACGAAACGAAGTTCTTTTCTCTTCCTTTTGCCAATATTAACATACAATTTTCATGTAGCAAACATTAGTTTGTTTAATTACTATGCCCTGTAGAGATACTTACGAAACTCGAGGACCGCTTTTTAATCTTGCCCAGGCTTCTGCTGCCTTTTTCCAGTCCATGGGATCGCCAGGTGTCGACATAGGAGGCGTAGGTCTATGTGAAGGAGTGGATCTATGATGGCCTGGAGTGGTAGTCGAAGGAGGAGGTGGATGAATGAAAGGTCCCTGTTGATGATTGGGCGTTTGTTGTCCGTATCTAGGAGTTGGTTGACCATGATGGGGAGTATGATGAGGTGTTTGGTACGGTGTCATGAACGGTGTTTGACCGGAAGGAGTGTACGGTGTATTCGGATAAGTGTGGACTCCACCATAACCAGCTGCGCTCGCAGTTCCAGGAGTGTGCGGTGGGTAATGGTGCGGGGTCTGATTTGCTACTTGCGACAAGGAGTGTAACATGTGGTGAGGAAGATTTTGTGCCACTCTTTGTATTGCTTCTTGATTCATTCCTGAAATATTATGTTTAAATGTTAGTACCGCGGTGATTGTTCCTATAACCTTTGCTAATATATCAGGTCATTCCATAAGTAATGTCGTTTTATGTTTACTTTAATCATAAACGTATGAACGATCCCGTTTCTATAACCTTCTTCATCTTTCAGTTATCGTCTTAATTCCAACTGTTCCAAATGTTCGAGGTTTTGATTTAAAAGACTAGTACTGTTTTTACGTGTTTAATATTGTTGAATTTTGTTTGGTTAAAAACGTTGTAGCAATCAAAATAGACGATAATCACTTAGTGCAAGGTCTACAATGTGTAATGGATAAAAGATTCCATTTATATTTTTTTTTATTATTATCCTCGTTATGTGTGGTTTAAAAAAAAGATGTCTCTTTACAGTAATGTAAGAGACGATATTACTTATGGGATCTAATGATCCAGTACATGTGAAAGAAGATATCCCTGCAGTATAATAAATTAAAACATTTACCGCTCACAGCTCCTGGCGTCGTATGATATGGCGTTCTAGAGGTCATAGCGCCACGCGGGGTGCTAGGTGTAGACTGTCCAGGCACTGGATCTCGAAAATGTTCTTTGAACCAACGGAACAGGTCGTTCACTCTACCGAACATTTGTCCTCTGAATCGAAATCCCTCCGGCGACACCGTCACATACTCGTGACGACACCGGGTTCGTGGAAGGTAAGACAGAAGAAATTTGCCAGGATAATTCTGAAACGCGCGGAAGCCCGTCTTAAATGTCTCGAACGTGGCACGATTCAACGATAGTCGAAAGACAGTAGTTCGATACTGACCTTCGCGGCGGATATTATGTACGGTATTCCCCCTGGATTATCTTTCTTTTGTTCCTTCAGTATTTCCTCCGCTTTATCTTTGATACCTTCTACGGTCGGTTTATAGTATTTGAAGTCTAATAGTTCCGAAGCGTAAGCAGCCATCGCGTTAACGTGTCTAGCAATAATTTCATCCAAGTCCTCGAACTCCTCGTTCCCGATCCATAGACTCTGTCCCAGAGAGAATGCATTCTCTTTTCCTTCTTCCCTCACGTCGATGTGCTGGTAAATATCGTCGGTCACTTTCCACGTGACCGTCAAATGATCCGCGCCCTTACTGCTTGGCCTAACGATCGCCTCTCCCTGTTTCATCGTTTGCATCAGCTTCTCAGCTTCCGTGAAACTGATATTGTGAAACGAAGGATGAACGATCACCCGTTTGACGTATGTCTGTCGTTGCTTGGCCTTCTTCGTCTCTTCTTCAACTTTTAGGTCTTTCTGCTCGGCATCTGTGTCGTAATACGGATCTCGTTGGGGTCTGAAAAGAAAAATTTTAAAATACTATGAAGGAATTATTAGGCAAGCAGATATATTCATTAATAGGTAACAACTATTAGAGGAGGATCCATTATCAACTAATTACAATTAATTGAAACCATTCACACCAATAGGACACGCTGTTACAAAGTTCTCATAACTTTTGCCAGGCACCACAGCATAAACATACGTTTGATTCTATCCATTCTCTTCCAAACATTCGTCATTCACACTTAACATTTAAACACACTGATTTCTCGCACCTGTAATACTGACAACGTGACTGTTATCTAACAAGGACAATTCTGAACATGTTGCGCTGATATTTAAAGTAGCTTTTGCGCTTTGGTAGAGTTTGAAATATTTCAGCTAACAATACAGTACTGTTCATTTGAATAGTCCGTCTGTTTAAAAAAAAAAAAAAATTGTATGTATGCCTATGAAAAGCGAAGACTTTTCTTGCTTGATTTACATTTAAAGAGTGTGTCCTGCTCTCTGATAATTTTGAAGCATACCATGTACATCTGTAATAGAATTGATAGGTTTCGTTAATATGCTTTCAGAATTGATTAAATATTTTAAAAATAGTAAATAATGATATGATTCGGTGATGTTACCTTACCATGTCACTATAAATTTACACCATAATTTTATGCATTATCAGTCACAGTTTATGCATGAAGTACATGGCGTTGAATGTACTATAAAGTTTCGCTTAATTCTCTAATATATTTTCATGTTGTTTCAAAAACATGTTATTATACTTAATTTGTTAATTTCTTTAAAATGTTTTTTAAGTATCATCCTAGCACAAGTACAGCTTATGATGCACCTGAATAATGTAAACAAAAAATATATAAATAACATAAGTGTGAATAAAACATCAGACGTGTACAAACAGACGTACAGACTTGAGAAAAAATGTTAAAAAATCAATGATCTATAAAATATTCTTTTCAAAACATATACTTTAAATATCTATTAATTTAGAGGTTTATAAATCATGGTATGAAGAACACTGTTCCGAACTGTTAGCCATTCGAATCCAAAACCATATATCGTTAGCTTTGACATTTCAACTAACTATGCAAAAGCTCATTAGAATATCACCGGTATGGTGCATGACTACAAAAAAGAAAAAATATATCTTAAAAACGCACCTCCAGTCGTGATTCTTGTCCGCGAGGTCGCTGCTCTTGCTGGTGCACTCGACGCTAAATCGTTCCACTTCGATTTTTATTATACGACAATGGATTATTTGCCCTACGCTCACTCTTTCCTCGGGATTTGCGACGTGTCTGTCGGATAGATTCTTTATGTGCACATAGCCCGATATTCCGTTGTCCAATCTCAATCGGACCCCAGTGGCTTTTCCTGGACAGGCTCCAGCGTCGAAGTGATTCCACACCTCGGATAGTTCAGGAAAATCATTCTTTAAACAAAATGGACATTGCCAGAGTCCCGTTTCATCGTTCCTCACAGGATTAGCTTGATCCAACTGATCGCCCTGCGGTTTCCTGTGACTGATCCCCACCACTGTCGCCAGGACCAATTTGCCCACGTAAAATGTCTCCGGCGTTTCCTTCGTCAGCATATCGAACAACTTCTCCGGGCTGGGCGACTGATAAGCTACCCGTAAATCTTTGTATCTGCAGTTCAATTCCGCCCTGATGTCGTACAACGTGACGCCCTTATTGCCGAAACCCTGTCTTTCGAGCTCTTCCGCGAAGGCATCCAAATCCAGATCTTTCAGTCTTTCGGGCGACTCCAAGATCTCCTCGAGAGCACCCGCAGGATTGGCGTCCTCGTCGTCGTACTCCAACGCGTCCACCGCCATCTTCCTCGCCCATTCATACGTTTCTGGATGGACACGCGACCCGTCGAGCACCTCCACGTACGCCTCGGTGCTGTCTCCGAGACTGTTAGTGTCTATCTTGATGAAACCAGCGCAATTGATGAAGACCTTTGGTCCCATGTGACAAGCAGTCACCAGTTGCGTTCTGTTCTCCAATCTCTGATTGGTTTGCTTCAACATCTTTATCAGAGCTTGACTCTTTCTCGGCCCTAAGCCGCACACGAATTGCACTAAATTCCCGGAATAGGCCTGCTGCACCGCCTTGTTCACGTCGACGCCTACTTCGTTCACGCGATTCACAAACTCCAGGTACAAGTTCTCCAACAATTCGTCTTTCGGTAGTTGGTCCTGCAACGCGTGGTATTTGAGACATAGGATCTCCTCGTCCGCGGTGCACAACTGCGAAAACTCTACTAGAGGATCTTGCATCCTCCTAGCCAACGAGATAGCTTGCCGCAACAACTCTGGGTAATCGCGGAACTCTGATATGCCCTTGTTGCTGTTCGCGTATATCTTGGCGAGATCGTTATCGCAGATCTCCACTTGAATGGCTGGAAACTGTTCGTCCTCCACCAGATTGGCGATGCACTCTTTAACGTCGGTTGCTATCATCATCGCGTCCCTGGATTCACCTCCTATTGCTACAACGTGCGGTTTCTTGGTTGCTATGAAGTTACGTATCGCTAACAGATCAGCCTCCTTCATGGTTTTCTCCTCCTCTCGATAGCTGTTCTTGCGCTTCATTAGGTGAGGCAGTCTCAAATAATCCGTGCATTCCCCATCGGGAGCTACCAGACAGATGAACGCTGCCTGGGAATAATCGGGAAAGTAAGATAAGCCCATCACCCGAAGTCCCTTGGTGGTGTCCCATTCCTCGTCCTCTTCTTCTGGAAACTCGCACGTGTACGGGGCGACTTTGATCCAATTGTACATCTTACGACAACATGCCTTCATCACGCATTCTTTGCCTTCCGCGATTAGATTTGTTCTCAACTCCTTCTTCAGGCTCGGTATGACCATTCGCGTCAGTGCCATCTCGACGCTCCCGACTCTCAGAGCGTTCCAATCTTGAACGTTCTTGCTGAACTCGTCCCGATAATAGAGCTGCTTCATCTCGTCGACGTAATTGCTAGTAGTGTTCCCTTCTATGCTGTCGCTCAACGTGATCGTGATGAGTTTATCATCCTCCGCTATGGCTAGGTTCAAAAACTGATCGCCGACCAGATCGCGCACGGGTTTATTCTTTAGGTACTTCATGGCGTAAATGGGGTGGTTCTCGTCGATCTCCTTCATTCCCTTTTTCGTGGGTCTGACGGATATCTTCGCCCTCTCCATGTACATCTCTCTCACGCATTTTCTTACCAAAGGCTCGCGCGCCAACTGTATCGCCACCATTAATTGAGAAGCTTTCACCACTTCCTCTGGAGTACCGAATATCTGACCGCAGTATTCGCTGGCAATGGTCAGAGGTTCCGTTGGCTCCTGGTCCACTTCGTGTCGCTGGTAATTGTCCCGTAAATTCTCAGCAAAGTGTTCCGGGGTGAGACCGAATTTCTTCGCAAGACTGTCGAGACCTGCTCGTTTGCAGATGGAGTACGGACCAGTGCGTATAGCTTGTTTCAACGTGTCGTCCGTTTCCTCTTCCTCTACTACCTCAGCTTCATCCTCTGGCAATGGATCCTCGCCGTTTTCCTCGGCATCGGCGATCTGTTGCCTTCGTTTCTGAATCTTAGCTTCCCGTTTCGCCTCCTTCTCCTTCAATCGCACAGCTTCCTGCATCGCTGGAATCTGGTGGCTGTAGTATAGTATGAAATGATGGTAAACGTCGTTCAGTTCTTCGGTTGTTTGCACGTTTTTAAGTCGTTCTATATCATCGTCCTTGATCACCCGCACGCTGTCCGGCAAAGGAGCGTCTGGATTCTTCATGATCTCGTCAAGCTGATAGTCCCTCATTTTTTCGAATAATTTTAACAAATTCTCTTTCCTCTGACGAAGCTGACACCATTTCGCGTCGAATTTGTACACCTTCCAGAGATCATTGATATTTAGTTCCGGTAGGACGTACTCCTTCCTATAAAATGATATGAAAGGGACTTCGAAATGTTGGTTTCGCATGAAGTCCAGAGCCTTTTTAATCTTGCCTATCGTTTGAGGTCCTTTACGAGCTCTCTCCTTGGCCTCTGCGTTCAAGTGAGCGTCTTGAATCGAGATAGTTGGCCGACAGAACGCTTGCTTGTAGATCCATTCTGCCTCTAGATCTAACTCGTCGGAACCCTCTGTGACCGGGGTAACGGGGACAGATCGAAGCTGCATTCTCTCAGGTATGTCCGTGTTTCGGACTTCGATGTCCATGTCCGTGAAGTGACCGCGCTTCAGCTCGCTGGGTTCGTAAATTTCAAATATACTTTTCCTGGTGGTTTTCTTCTTCAACTGTTTCTTCGGTCTTCTCGGCCTTTCGGCATCCTCCTCATCCATGTATTCGTCTTCCTCTTCTTCTTCTTCCTCTTCTTCATAGTCCTCCTCGCCATATTTACCGAATTCATCGTAGTCGAAATCCACACCGAAAATGTCTTGAGCTTCCTGCAAAGCTGCGTCGGAAAATATCGGCTTTTTCTTCTTGCGTTTCTCGGCGATTGGTCTACCATCGTCGTCAACGATAAAATCATCTGCGTCCGTGTATTCCCCTTCGCTTCCTTCTTCGTCAAACGTTTCCATTTCTGGCCTATGACTCCGTTCACTCCTCCTTTCGTCTTCCTGATAAATAACGACGATAGAAAACATTGTGACAAGATGAAAGTACAGCAAACCCTTGCTAATCCAAACGCAGTTTGTCTAGATGTCGGTTAGTCCAGATTAACGAGGTTTTACTGTACGTCAGTGGCCTTTGCTTGCAACTACCATACGTACCATGCTAATTTCTCTTTCCTGATATAGGTATGAAAACAATCACAAACATTAAGTATGTTATACAAAGCAATAGAAATTCTAAAAGAACCAGAAAACAGAAAAATTAGATTACAAAAGGTATATATCAAAGAACAAGCTTACATCTCCTGAGCCTTCGAAAAGTTCATTAGCGATGGCATCTCTATCATCATCCATTTCTTTCTCCTGTTCCTCTTCTGATTCCTCATCTTGAATCCTGCGGAGGCGTTTGAAACGTTTCTAAAGTAAAGGATCTCATGACTACATGTGTACAATATATTGTTGTTTAAGAAATTGAAATAATTCAAGTGTACCCTCTCGACTTTGACACCTAAGTTTTCTTCTATTAAGTCGTAATCTTCGTCCTCTAGACGGTCGTCAAAGTCCTCGTCATCGCTTTTTTTACGTTTCTTAGAGGCTCCAGAGCCGTCGCTATCTTCTCCTTCGCTTTCCTCTATAGGATTATCATCTATGAGATCTTTCAGTTCTTCGCGTAACCGGTCTTCGTCATCTGTATAGAAACAATATACAAATGCATTTTTACTAAGCAACAAATACTACGCAAAAGGACTATGATACATTAAAACATAAAAATTTCACCTTCCTCCTCTTCTTCCTCGCTTTCTTCCACTGCCTTTAACTTTTTAAGTTTCTTTTTTTCATTATCGTTCAACTCCTCCTCCTCCTAGAATATAACGGCAACACATCGATTAGTGACATAAGTTATCGACAATCACGAGTAACACTAAAACGAACTGCAGTCGTGAGACGAAAAATTCAACAATGTCGATACCTCGCTTTCCTCCGCTTCCGAATCTAAGAAATCAGCCATTTCTTCTACGTTTTCTCTCCCAACAGATAAAATTTACATGTAACTGAGTAACATGAACATTCGAGATCGTACCAGATCGAGCACTTACTTAACACCACTTAAGATTGCTCACTGCTTATACTCAATCCAGCTGTATGTATTGTTGTGTGTGTATGTGTGTGCATCACCTAGCTGTCTGTAGCTGTCTATCACCAATTCACCAATAGAGGGATTATCAATTCTTGACGTTTCCAAAAGACCCTAGCGAAAGAGACTCATCTTCGATTAAATTTCTAGGGCCCGTATTCACAGTCGCGACGTGAATCATCAGACCCATCAGAAGTTCTTGACTAAGATCGCCTTATTTGAATAAGCCAAATAAGCATTCCTTGAGTCGCTATGTATTCATACAGTGATGAGTAAAACCCTAGGATTCGAATTAATCTGAAGTCTGCCGATATGTTTGCCTCTTTTCCTCTTTCGAACATTTCCCAGAGGAAGAAACGAGACAAACACAAACTCGGCAAGTTCGGCAAACTTCAGATTTATTCGAAGCCTAGGGTTTTGCCCATCTCTGTATTCATAGTCAGCAAGCCAGCGAATAAGGTCGACTTAGTTAAGAAACCAATGCTTAAGGTTTGCTTAGTTGAGCAAGCAATTGCTGTTTGACGTTCGGCTATTTCTGTCGATTTTCTATAGTAACAACCAATTAAAATGATTCTTGAAAATGCAGCATTATTTATGTACCTTATTCATGTACCTTATCCTGAATTGAACATATGTCCTGGTGGCTCCCCTCGACGGAATTCTATTAAATTAACTAACGCACCAAATTTAAATTGTACAGTGGTGTAACTGAAGTAATGTACAAGATTGTTGCTATGTAAAAGCATTGTTGACGTGTAAACCACCCACTGTAAAAACAAATGAAGAAACTAAATAGCCAATCATAAAACCTTTAAGTTAATTTTAAGATCTATTCGCTAATTTAATTGATTTGTAAATTGTTCGCAACACCACATAACAGGGGCATCTATGCGCCTACGAAATGGCAACCGAGACGACGAACAGGCCAGTATAGGTTGCCGCATAACAGGGGCACATGTGCGCCTATGATGAAGCAACCAGGACTACAAACTGAATAGTACCATACCAATGTATATCTGTACGCATATTTATTAAAATCTAATCAAAAATACTATGAAACTAATAAAAATTTATTGTAATAAACTATTAAATAAGCCCGCGTTAGCCACCAATGACTGACATTAATTTTTCGTTCACTTCTGGACACCTTTCGACACCTCCTAATCCAATACCTTCCTGGTATATTTCCCTTTAATTTCCCTCCATTTTCTGGTATATTTCCCTTTAATATTCCTCCATTTCCTGGTATATTTCCCTTTAATTTCCCTCCATTACCTTACACATTTCCCTTTAATATTTCTCCATTTCCTGGTATATTTCCCTTTAATATTCCTCCATTTTCTGGTATATTTCCCTTTAATTTCCCTCCATTACCTTACACATTGACTATAACAATATTAACCATTACTTGCAAGATTGTTGTAGTTCTAAGAGGAGCGATTTTCAACATTGTTGAACTCGCAACATTGTGGAAGTTTCGGGAGAAGCTATTTGCAACATTGTCGGG